GAATAAACTTAATCAATCGAGCAATAGGTCCTGATGTGTACTTGATTTGATCTAGCCCAACAATAAATAAAAAAGTCATCAACAATTATGGATAATAATTGTATTATATAAGCATTAGCATTACAATCAAGTTGGAGTTCGGATATTAAAAAATTTAAGGTCTATCAATTCATATCTCGTGTTCGGTACTCTGTTAAAGCTATCAAGTGAGTCGTTTCATTTCGCGTGTGTTTCACAAGAAGTCCAAAGTCTGTTTCGCATCTCAATTTCAACTTCGTTGAGTTTCTTCGCACATTGTTTTCCACCTCTTTTTGATTTACAATATAATATGAAACAGTACGCTAATCTGACTCTCCTTCTTACTCAATAACTAAATTGATGGTCAATCTGTATGATCCTTTTTACTAATTTGAAGTGAGTTGGACTTGTTGAGTTAACCAATTTGAACCCAAAAACTAATGAAGCTTATAAATTGGAGGTTATTTTAACTTAATCAAAACCTTACTGATAAATTCATTAATATTGAAAGTATGACGACTAGATTGTTAATGACTATAAAGTTCAGTGACCTGTAATCCGCGCTGATGCAACCCAGCAAAACAGATGAATTGAGCTTCAAGCTCATAATCTCATATCACAAAAACAAGGAAAACAAAAATAATAATAAACCTTCCATTTGTTTGCTCCCTCTCCTCAATAATTAATTGATTTTTCTTTCTCCTTTTCCCCATTATCAAATAATCCAAAAAAATAAAACTCACCTTCTCATTCATTTTTCTTCCCTCTTCTCTTCTTTCGTCCCCTTTTCTCTCCAACAATTCTCGAGCTTCAGTTTTTCTTTCCCCTTTCTTTTCGCTCTCTTCCGTAGAACTCTCTCAGTGAGAGAGAGCTGTCTTCTCGGCTCAACCTTTCTTCTTCTCACTTTCCTTTTCCTCCTGTTCCTTGATGCCAACTTCCAACCTCAAGCTATTGTGAATTTCTCGCTTTCCTCTGTTCTGTCTCGCCTTTCATATTACCCTTGTTTTTTTTTTCTTCGGTCTTTCAATTGCGGTGTGGCGGGATCGCAGTTTGTCTTTTCCCGTTTCGGGGTACTGGAGAAAGGATTAGAAGAACTATGAATCCCAGCAATGGAAGGGGTGTTGTCTCTTCTGTTAGCTCTAGGGTTAGCAGGAAATCTAGTGAAACCGTCCCTGATCAGTTCCCAGTGGGGCTCCGTGTTATGGTCGTCGATGACGATCCCACTTGCCTTATGATCCTGGAAAAGATGCTCAGAACTTGCAAGTATGAAGGTAAACGCTAACTTCCCAGCTCCTCCTCTTCCCCTTGTCAGCTCCTGGGATTGGGTATTGAAAAAATGTAAATTTAGATTTGAGATTTAGCTTCCGCAAAGATACACCAAATTTTGTAGTTGTTATGAACTTAGCCGATTGTGGGTTGGTGATAAAGATGTGAACTTGGTTTGACTTGGTATGATTTGATTTGATCATTTTTTACACTTTGATTTGGATTTGATTCTTTTGTTTGTTTTCTATTTTCAGTGAAAAGATGCAGTAGAGCAGAAGAAGCCCTATCAATCCTACGAGGGAATAGCAATGGCTATGATGTCGTCATTAGTGATGTTCATATGCCAGACATGGATGGATTCAAGCTGTTGGAGCAGGTTGGTCTGGAAATGGATCTTCCCGTTATAAGTAAGCAAATTTCTCCCTCTTTTATCTTACATTTGATCTCCATAACTCAATTCGGGTTCTAATGATTAGTGGGAGTTTGGTGCAGTGATGTCCGCGGATGACTCAAAGAGTGTGGTGATGAAGGGAGTAACTCATGGTGCTTGTGATTACCTAATAAAGCCGGTCCGGATCGAGGCTTTGAAGAACATATGGCAGCATGTCGTACGAAAGCGAAAGAATGAGTGGAAGGAAGTGGAGCAACAGTCTGGGAGTGCTGATGATGGTCAGCCGAAGCAGTCGGAGGATGGTGATTACTCGTCCTCGGTCAATGAAGGCAGTTGGAGAAACTCGAAGAGAAGGAAAGATGATGATGAGGATGGAGAGGATAGGGATGACACTTCCACGTTGAAGAAGCCTCGTGTGGTTTGGTCTGTGGAGCTGCATCAACAGTTCGTTGGTGCTGTCAATCAGCTTGGAATTGACAGTATGTTGTCTCTCTCTCCCTCTCGCTTACTATTTATTGTAAATTACACTGCCAACTAGGGCTTTAATTTTTTGGATCCATTTCGTTAAGCCCCTTATATTTTTGGTGGATACAATTGTAGAAGCTGTGCCAAAGAAGATTCTTGAGTTGATGAATGTGCCTGGACTCACTAGAGAAAATGTTGCTAGCCACCTTCAGGTATGGCTCTAACTTGATTTACAAGTCTTTTATTTGGTGGTGTATTTGGGGGAGGAATATTTGGAATTTGCACGTACTTGAACAAATATATCATTTTAGTTGATACTTGAAATGATGCTTGGTGTATTTCCATTTGTGTTGAGCTTTTTTCTTCTAATACGGTACTTGCTCTTGTGAGGTACAGAAATATCGATTGTATCTGAGAAGGCTAAGTGGTGTTTCTCAGCACCAGAATAATTTGGGCAGCCCTTTCATGAACCCTCAAGATCCCGGATACGGACCATTATCCACTCTCAATGGAATCGACTTGCAAACCTTGGCAGCAACCGGTCAGCTGCCAGCGCAAAGCCTCGCTACTCTTCAAGCAGCTGGATTAGGTCGAGCAGCAGTAGCACCCAAATCCAGGATCCCAATCCCAGTGGTGGATCAGAGGAACCTCTTCAGCTTTGAAAACCCTAAGCTTACATTTGGGGATACCCAACAGCAGCCACAACATTTGAACAATGGAGGGAAGCAAATCAACTTGCTTCATGGAATCCCAACCAACATGGAGCCCAAGCAGCTCGTGAATCTGCACCACCAGGGAAATTCAATTCCAGCTGTTCAAAGTGTACACAATGGGTCGTATCAACCGCAGTCAAGAGTGCAGCAGCCAATGGGTAACTATAATCCAGTTTCTCACTCTTCAGCAATGATTAATTTTCCATTAAGCAGCTCAGCAGAGCTACGAAGCAACATCTATCCTCTCCCAAATAATCCAGCCAAAGGTGGATTTCCAGAAGATGTGACCTCAGAAATGAAGGGATCAACACCAGGATTCGTGCCTAGCTATGATATCTTCAATGAGTTAAATCACCAACAGAAGGTCCACGATTGGGAACTGCAGAATGTAGGGTTGACATTCAACGCTACTCAGCAAGCTAATAATAGCATAGATGTTGTTGGGACTTCAATCGTAGCATCTCCCCATCAGGCCTTCCCATCATCGAACCAAGGAAGTGGTCTGCCTAGGAATGCATCTGTTGTTCATGCAAACAACAATACTAATGCAATAAGCATGGGGCAGCATCATATGAGCAATAATAACTTCTACCACGAGAATAATCCAGTTAGGGTTAAGCTCGAAACCCCATTGTTTCCAGAGCAATTTGGTCAGGATGATCTCATGAGTGCTCTGCTCAAGCAAGTACGTCAGATGTCCTCTTTTATTTGTTATGTTCTTACCCTAAACAATTTGCTCAACACTTTATTTATCTTGTGTTTTATGTTTGCCACTTATTGCAGCAACAAGGAGGGATAGTACCAGCGGAGAATGACTTTGATTTCGACGGGTATTCCATAGACAATATTCCGGTCTAGGAGTGAACAGATGAAGATTCAAGCACGCCGTGAGTTCACTCCCTCGTGGCGATGGCCATTGCTGATGTACATAACTGTTGTTTCCTGTGGACCCTCCGAATTCTCTCTTCAACGACAGCAGCATAGCAAATTCGAAAGTTATAGTAGTATCTTTGTTAGAAGGAAAGAGTTGCCTGCATTTGACCGACGTAGCTGCATTTCACCTGTGAATATACGAGGACAGGCTCTCTGCTGGGTCTCTATTGAACGTGGTGTCGTATAGAAGAACACAATCGATCAAAAAGATCACCAGCAGCAGCATGATATTATGCTAAAGGCATTCCCATGCAAAATTTTGGATGGAACTATTCGGGAGGAAAGTCCAACAGAAGCAAAAGAGGAACCAAAAGAAATCTAATTCTTAGGAGGGTGGAAATGAACAGACTTGTGGTATTTGAGCTCTTAGAAAAGTTGAAATTCAGTGAAGAATTGATTCATAAGCTTAAGTAGAAGGGTTGCAGAAGGAATGTAGGGCTGCCTTTTCGTTCCCCCCTTTTTCTAACTTCTTAATAATACATTTGTTAGGATTTCAGTTTGCTTTTTGATTTCCAGCTTCTTTTCAGATTTGTTATTTGAGGAACCTGACCCGTGCTGTACATACAATCTCTTCAGTCTTCACCCTCATTTGATTGCTCTTTCATGCAAGTGATAAGTCCCTTCTTTCCTGGTATATTTCCACCCAGGATGCTTCATCTTATCTTCCTCTTCCCTTTGTTCTTGGAATTTATTGCAGGAGTCTTTCTCATGTTATATTATTATTTATTAAAGTTCCTGCTTTGTGTTTCCGAGTTGTAGACAAAAGCAACATTGTATTGAGCTTTTCTGAATTTGAAATCAATTATTTGTCTACAATTGTATTAACATGATACAAGAAAAAGTGAAGAAGTTTATAATAATCATTAATGTAGTGGATTGATGGTTGAAAGGCGAAGGACGGTTTGAGAAGACGAGGAAGTTGGTTAAACTTATAAAGTAGCAAAAGTGCAAAGTAGGTATGACAATTTGACCTAACCTGTTTTATCCAACTTGTTTGGCCTGTTTTGGGTGGGTCCGACTCACCCTGTAGGCGGGACGGAGCTGACATGGGTACTCTCATCTCATCGACCCGCCAAGTCCCGACCCTCCCCATTCTCGACCCGTTCTTACCTAAATTACATGTAATCTTAATCAAATTATTTGTGATTTTCCTTTTATTACACCATATTTTAGCTGTAATAAAGTTGCAAATTAGTGAAAACCTCAAATTTTTAATAATTTAACTACATTTATTATAATATGATTTGTTTTCTTGATCTTATAATGAAATTAACGAATATTTCTAATGTTTTCCATATAAATTGCATACCCTTTGGGTCGGCCTGCTCTGATCCGCAACCATTGACACCTATTAGCTATACTTCCAGCCTTCATCTCTTTGGGCCAAACCCTCTCTTTTCCCGAGTCAAGTCCCAACCCAAAACCTAACTCCAAACTCCCTGCAACTAATAAGTAATAAAACCAATGTCAGTGGACAAATTAAAGGAGACCTGCTCCCGCCAATTGTCAGATGAAGTTGGGTTGGGCCAAGTATGTTATTTGTTTGTATGTGGTCAGAATTGCTTGCATGGGCCAAGTAATACGTATGTTAGTGGTCTAGTAAGGTTAATAGTAATTAGGTTTTTCTTATGTTTTTTTGCTGCCAGTACGACTACTAAAAAAGATGCATGTTATTTGCTGTCAATATGACTACTATTTGCCACCAACTTAAAAAAATTCAAAACTCAAAATTTGTTTATATATGCCTTTGAGAGAGGATTTTTCACTAAATACAATAAATATCGAACTCAACAACTTCCAAAAAACTTGTACAATCCTAAAAAATGACGATCGCCGAAAAACTAACCGAAAAAGTCGAACCTCATCGTACTCTGTGCACATGGAGAAGAACTGTATGCAAGAACTATATTAACGTTGCTCCACGTATATATGGTCAGTAATTTGACAATTTTTCGGTGGGTTTTCAGGACCCATCCAATTGCACTTTCTCTCCGCCCCTAAATGCGGCCCAGGGCTCTAATGTATCCTGGATCCGCCGCTGCCCGCGACCCATGATAAATTATCCGAACTTGACCCAGGACCTGCCCATTGTCATTCCTACTGCCTACTGGAGGCTTGCAATTATACCCATGCCCATGGGGTTTATAACTATCCAACCCATTTGGGTTGGTCTGAAATCCAATTAAAGTGTAAATGGATAAAGTCAGATGGGTCAATACCCATACTCATTATGTTGGGTTTACTTAGGTTTTACCCCTGAACTTGGGTTAAAAAATCCAAACCCAAATAATTAAAAAAAGAAAAACAAAACTGAAAAGAAAATGAAAAAAATCTATTCGTTTCCTCTTAGTCGAGACTCAGAGTCGACATTCTCTCTTTCTCTCTAGTCTCTACCTATCCTTCGTCGACGACGAGCCGGGCCAGCCGGTTGAGCAAACAGAGTTACAGAGAGTCAAGACGACCACGACGTCGGCGCCCCGACCACCGCCACTAGCTCGAACGTCGCCAGCCCGGCCACCTCCGATCTCGACATCCCCTCCGACCACTGAATCGCATCGCCGCCGCCCAGTGATACAAAAACCCACTCCGATTTCGTGAGTCGTGACCCACCAGTGATACCAAAAACCGTCTGCGTCCTCTTCTCCTTGAATTCTCACCAAGCCCATATATCGCAGTGGAGCCCTCTGCCTCCAGAAGAGTGTAATGAACCCAATATCTAGTAGGGGGTAGTTGTAAGTAGTAGAATAAGGATGATCAATTTAGATAATTGTACAAGGCTATAAAAGCTCTATCTGGTTGTACTGGAGACATGAAGAAATAACAAAATTCCAATTTCCTATTCTCTTCTTCTGCTCTCTCTCGTTCTATCCTTCTTCTTCCCCAAGCTTCTGCTTCTGTTCTTCCTTCCCTTCTCAATTTCTCTTCCTCTTTCCCTCATTCTTGCCTCTATTACATTGTTTGCCAATTAATTCGTCGGGACAGATCCAGGATCATCACAACTTGGTATGAGAGCCAATTCTTGGCACATGATGACGATCAACATGAGATTGAACAGTATGGACGCCCGAATGGAGCGCCGATTCGATCGATTGGAAGAATTGCTTGACCAAACCTTGTTGCGTTTGCCGAAGACGGGCTGAACGGGATGTACGACCGTGGTTATCGTCGCCGGGGAGCAGCTGCCTTACCAAAACTTTGCTCAAGAAAAGAGCCCTCCACCTGCTCGTCGTATTGCGCTTCTGGAGCCGTCAAGTTCTCCTCAGTATCAATTTTTGTCTGCGACGGTAGCTTGTGAGGAGAATCACAGTGTTTCCTCTCCGCCACACAAACAACCAAGAACTGACGCCCTCGACGATTGTGTCCTCTTCAGCACTCCATCGTCTCCTTCGACGGTAGAGAGCGGGGGTCTTCCAACCCCAATCTCAGAACGGGTCATCAGTGGAGTTAGCCGGACGACGAAGGAAGGTTGGGCGACCTTCAATGCTCGAATGGACGAGTTTAGCAACCAGCGCAAAATCATCCTGGCGCGATTGGCAACACTCTGCAACCGGAGTGAGGCTCAGAAGCTGCGCATCCTCGTTTCGACAATGGGAGCTGATGCCCACTCTGAGCGACTTTCACCTCCTGCTCGACAAAGGCAGCACCCTGAGCTGATGATTTCTTCCTCTGCCAAACCTGCAATTCACAGTCAAACTTCCGGTAATCTCTTCTCCACTCAGCCTTTGGAGTTTCCCTCATTCAATGGCGAGAATCCTAGATGCTGGGTTAGGGAGTGTGAGCGATTATTTGAGGAGTATGATACTCCAGAACATGAGAAGGTCAGGGTTGCTACCGTTAATTTCGGGCGAAGGGCAGATTTATGGTTTGGGGGATGGACTTCTTATCATTCCGTATGGGTTTGGAGTGAGTTTGTTGCGGCTGTGTGTGGTCGTTTTGGATGGATCACTGTGACAATTGCAGAAAAAAAACAAGAGTGTTGCAACCTTTCCTTCTGCTGCTTTTATAGTTGAGGATAGTATGATGAAGGGAATTGAATCTCCATAAATAAAGGTACTAACTACAGTTGTAGAATCTGATGCACCACTCGAGGAATTTGTGAATGCAGATCTTGCTAAGTGGTATCCTGTAGGGGGGGGCTTTGGGCTTCCTGAGGAGCACATGTTTTCCGTTAGTGTTCCTTTGAAACCACTTGGTTGGCCAGTTTTTTCAGGTTCTTTGTGGTCTTTGCACAAAATGGACAAGCTGAATTCTTTTGTTGAAATGGTCACAAAAACAGATTTGTACTTTGGTGCTACTACCAGCTCAATGAAGGATAAAACACATGTCAAGCAGGCTGGAAATGGGGTGTTGCTAGCTCAAGGAGAAGTCCAACAATCTGCCTTCACTATTGGAGTAGAAAACAAGGCTGGTTTGCAAAGTAATGGTGATCAAATGGCTTCTATGTTGTTCCATACGTATTCATTGAATGTTGGTACTAGTGGGCTACTGCATCTTGACTTTCCTTGTGTTGTATATGACCAACCGAAATGGGCTGGATATGTGTATGAAGCTGGTAGAAAATCTGCAGAATTTTTTACTTGGTGGCTTCAATGGATTTGGGGGTTGAATGACAGATGGGGTTCTGAATATCAAGTTTTCCCTACCTACTACGGTGTTTGTGTAGTGTCTCGTGGCAGAGGACGGTGCCCTTGCTTTAAGGAACCGTACAAGGAGGCCTTGATAGCTTGTGTTGGGGAGTTGTTTGATTGGATTTCTCTACAGTGTTGGTTCTTCAATGGTTGTAAGGAAATTGAGTTGAGGGTTGGTGCAGCTGATGAGCTTCATTGTGGGGTTCATTATGGTGATTCTGTTAATTTTCAGTGCAGGGAATAAGAACCTAACTTCAAGGAACTCTACAAACATTGTGTTCTAGGAGCCTTACAAACATTTTGTTCTAGAGGTAACATCATCCTTTCCTATGGCAGAGGCGCCTGTCCTGACTTTAAAGCACCATATAAAGCTGTTGGGAGTGGGGGCAGTGTGTGGATCCTACTGAAGATGGAGTTGGTAGTGATGGATGGTTGTTGTTTCTTGTGCATCTTGCTGCGACATAGACATGGCAGCACTGTATCTTCTCTTTTTGCAGTAAGAAATCTGGAAGTAATGTTGTGGGGAATGCTTTCTTGACAAGCCTTGTTGCTAGTGTGTTGAGGATTGCTCATGCTACTCTGACTGGACTTCAGCAACTTGATATCATTGAGTAGCAACCCTTCCATCCAGTTTGAGTCATTTCCTTGCTGTTACAGTTTCATCTCATTTCCTTTCTTGAGTCGATTAATTGCTGCATTGTATGTCGGTTTTAATTGGTTAACAGACTTGAGGACAAGTCTGTTCTCAAGGGATGGGGAGTTGTAATGAACCCAATATCTAGTAGGAGGTAGTTGTAAGTAGTAGAATTAGGAGGATCAATTTAGATAATTGTACAAGGCTATAAAAGCTCTATCTGGTTGTACTGGAGACATGAAGAAATAACAGAATTCCAATTTCTATTCTCTTCTTTTGCTCTCTCGTTCTATCCTTCTTCTTCCCCAAGCTTCTGCTTCTGTTCTTCCTTCCCTTCTCAATATCTCTTCCTCTTTCCCTCATTCTTGCCTCTATTACACTGTTTGCCAATTAATTTGTCGGGACAGATCCAGGATCATCACAAAGAGCTAGCCCTAAAATCTAAATCCATGTCTAGGAGCCATCTGTTATCGCAATTGCAGGCGCTCACAGTCAAGGCTCGCCGACTCTATTCCAGAAATCCATAGAAGCATAGACAAATTGGCCGAAAAATAAGCTTTTTCATTCATTCTCTGAGAACTAGGTTGCTTGGAATTCCACGGCGGGTCAATTTCCTTTTGATCTTCCAACAGGTAAATACCTCAAGTTTAGCAATCTGTTCACTGCCCTGAGGTTAAAACATTGTTTCGATATTAGGGTATACCTTCCTCTTTCTGTCATTCTGTTCACTGCCCTTGAGGTGATGTCAGAAGTATTTTGAAGCCATGATTGGTATAGCTCACAGAGTATGACTGTTTTTTCCATGTCCATCCAATTCTCTGTTTTTTCCATGACTTTGAATGCTCTGTTTTTTGTCAAATTTCCTGGAAAAGATTCGCCTTCGCCATTTTTGTTCTTGGTTGTTGTTTAGCTGTGGTCTCCCTGTTTTCTTGCTTCATCTGCTTTTATTAAGATAAGATGCATCAAGTGGTCTTCCCCAGTGGATGTCTCTGACTTTGAATGCTCTGTTTATTAAGATATGTGTAGCGTGTTGTTACTTTTGGGTGCAATTTGTCCACCAGACAAGTACCCTGGAGCTTGTTCTTGTTTAATTTACATGTCTGCCTTCGTTGTGTTCTCCAGTAGGTAACAACTTAAGGCTGATTGCTAAGGACATTTTGGCCATTCCAGTGTCAACAGTTGTCTCGGAATATGCATTTAGCACAAGTGGAAGATTATTGAATCCTCATCGTAGCCGCCTTGATGACACGACTGTGGAGGCTCTTATGTGCACCCAGAACTGGTTTAGGAATGAACTTCATGGTAAGAAACAACTTGTTCTTGCTGTTATTTCATTATTTACCTTTTGTGTATGTTGTGGTTGAGTGCATTCTCTGCTTTCTGTGGAGGCTCTTGTTGTGCTTTCTGTGTATGTTGTGGTTCCAGTACTATAACAAGAACATACAGGCAAGGCAACTTTTTGTTGTTATGTGTCGATTATACAACTTTCTTCTTTCTTTCTCTTGTAATTTGGAGGTTCTTTTGGGGACTTCTTTTGGTTAGGAATTCTTTGATTGAGATTTTTAGGAGATAGGAGGTGATAATGATAAAGAGAGGCAAGTTACAGGAGCTGCTAGTTATTGCTGCAAGTAGAAGAGGGTCAGTTTTGTTCCATTCAAAACATGTAGTAGGAAAAGAGGATAAGCTTATGATAATGCTGCTGTTTCTAATTCAGTTGTGTTATTATATTTGCATTAATCATCATGGATAAGTGGAAATTGTTGGGCGAGATCAGAGCTGGAAAATCCAGTCAAGGAAGGTGTGGCTAAATAAGGAAAGTGCTGATTATGCTCAACGGCTAGTGAGGGACAACGACTATGCTGCTGCCTCTATTTATTTGATCATCTCCACCTTTTCCAAGACACTTTTACAAGCAAGAAGCAACAGCGGTATAGGGCTAGTACTTGAGAGTAAAATGGTCTCTTCTCCAGGGGTATAGGTTCTGTGAGAGTGGATGAAATTGGTTCAGAGTTTGTGATACTCTGGTTTTAATTTCTTGTTTCAGAGTTATACTCTGGTTCTTATTTGCTTGTGTCTTGAGTTTTTATAAACAGAAAATATAGTGTCTCTCAGCAGGAGTGAGTACGACTGCTGGGACGAGAACGTAGCCATGTTTGGGTGAACCTCGTTAAAATCTTGTCTCTGTGTTTTTCTTCTCCTCTCCGCCTTCTGCCCTTGATTACATTCTGCTCTGCTTCTGTTCTTCACGAATTGAGCAGAATTCAGTTTGTTCCTCCTGGGGCTTCTTCTGGGCTTAAAATCCTAGAGCCCAACTTCCTTCATTTAAGTTTAATCCTTCGTTTGGGCCTTTATTGAGTTGATCCCACGTTGTCAAACGAAAAGCAGAAAGGGAGACCAAGATCTCTATCTTCTTCTCCTTCTCTTCGTTGATCTGCAATTTCCTTTCCATTT